TTTGGGGTCAGTTTTGGGGTCTCACCCTGGGAAGGAAAAGCCCTGGGGTTGCAGCGGGGATTTGGGGGGGATTTGGGGTTTTTGGGGTCAGTTTTGGGGTTTTTGGGGTCAGTTTTGGGGGTTTTGGGATATTTTTGGGGTCAGTTTTGGGATATTTTTGGGGTCAGTTTTGGGATTTTGGGTCTCACCCTCGGACGGGAACCCGCCGGGGTTGCAGCGGGTTTTTGGGGTCAGTTTTGGGGTTTTTGGGATATTTTTGGGGTCAGTTTTGGGGTCAGTTTTGGGGTCAGTTTTGGGATAGTTTTGGGGTCAGTTTTGGGATATTTTTGGGATATTTTTGGGGTCAGTTTTGGGGTTTTTGGGATATTTTTGGGGTCAGTTTTGGGGATTTTGGGGTCAGTTTTGGGGTTCTGGGTCTCACCCTCGGACGGGAACCCGCCGGGGTTGCAGCGGGTTTTTGGGGTCAGTTTTGGGATATTTTTGGGGTCAGTTTTGGGATATTTTTGGGGTCAGTTTTGGGATATTTTTGGGATATTTTTGGGGTCAGTTTTGGGATATTTTGGGGTCAGTTTTGGGGATTTTGGGTCTCACCCTCGGATGGGAACCCGCCGGGGTTGCAGCGGTGGAAGCGTCTGGAGAAATGCCGGAGGACGCGCTCGCGCTCCTGCGTCTCCCCCGAGAGCACCAGCGCCTGCAGGAACTGCCTGGACAGCCCAAAAACAGCCCAAAAACAGCCCAAAATCATCCCAAAAATATCCCCAAAAATACCCCAAAAACATCCCAAATATATCCCCAAAAATACCCCAAAAACATCCCAAATATATCCCCAAAAATATCCCAAAAATGTCCCAAAAACGGCCCAAAAACGGCCCAGATATACCCCAAAATCATCCCAGAAATATCCCCAAAAATACCCCAGAAACGGCCCAAAAATATCCCCAAAAATACCCCAGAAACGGCCCAAAATCATCCCAAAAATGCCCCAAAAATACCCCAAAAACATCCCAAATATATCCCCAAAATATCCCAAAAATGTCCCAAAAACATCCTAAATATATCCCCAAAATATCCCAAAAATACCCGAAAAACATCCCAAATATATCCCCAAAAATATCCCAAAAATGTCCCAAATATATCCCCAAAATGTCCCAAAAACGGCCCAAAAACAGCCCAAAAACGGCCCAGAAATGTCCCAAAAACAGCCCAGAAATACCCCAAAATCATTCCAAAAATATCCCCAAAATACCCCAAAAACATCCCAAAAATATCCCCAAAATATCCCAAAAATGTCCCAAAAACATCCCAAAAATATCCCCAAAATATCCCAAAAATGTCCCAAAAACGGCCCAGAAATGTCCCAAAAATATCCCAAAAACCACCCCAAAACCACCCCAAAAATCAGCCTGGAACATCCCAAAAATTCCCCCAAAATTCCTCCAACAAAATCCCAACTTTTTCCCCCTCGCCAAAAAAAACCTGAAAATTCCCCCCAAAATCCCAATTCTCTCTCCAAAAAAATCCCAAATTACCCTTAAACCCCCCCCAAAATCCCAAATTTTCCCTCCCAAATAATCCAGATTTCTCCCCCAGAATTCCCAAATCCCCCCGGAATTCCCGGAATTCCCGAATTCCCGGAATTCCGACCTCAGCGCCTGCTCCAGGCTCAGCCCCTGGAACTGGAAGAGCTCCAGGTACTCGTGGGCCAGGCGGGCGCTGAAATCCGTCCTGCAACGGCAATTCCCAAAAAAAAATCAATTCCCAAAAATTCCTCACTTCCCAAAATAAATCCGCCCTTCCCGAAAACAAAAAAATCC